CTTGTGATGCCATCCCTGAGCTCACCAAGTAAGCGGGGGACTGGAGGGGGACCCAGGCCTCCCCTGCCCTCTAGGGCGAGCGGGCAGCAGGGTCTCCATAGCCCTGCTCCGTCGCCACCTTCTCTCCTGCGTCTCCTCCTCGTGATGGTGATGGGGGCACGCGTCCCCTGGGAGCTGGGCTGAGCCCTGCCAAACTCATGTCACATCTGGGCCAATCTGTGGCCAGTGCATGGATGGTCACTGCTGGCCCAGCTTTCGCGGCTGATGCCTGTCCGCAGGGCGGGCCGGGGGCTGGGACACACCGCCTGAATCCACGCCCCAGTCAGGGGATCAGCGGGGGCCGCCTGGCTCCAGATCCGGGGCAATCTATCTGATGGCGGAGTATCCTCCCAGGGCCCTAACAGCCTGTCCTGCCCCCCGCGCAGCCCCCTCTCAGATAAGGAGACTGTCACCGTGGGACAGCTGCGCTTCAAGGCTCTCTTCACCCCGGGGCACACCGTGGGGCACATGGTCTACCTGCTGGACGGGAAGCCCTTCGAGGGGCCGGCCTGCCTCTTTTCTGGAGACCTCCTCTTCCTCTCAGGCTGCGGTGAGCTGGGCTTCTTTGGTTCTGTCTCTAGTATCTGCCCCGCGGGGGGGAGGCACAGCTCATTGGTGAGGTTGGCCCCCCCCCGCTCCCTCCCTTCACTCTTCAGGATGAACGAGATGCAGCTGGCACGAGCTCGGGCTTCCCTAAGCTGCCCTGTTCCTCCCCAGAGGGGGCTGCATTTTAGTGTTGGGGGAAAGGAGGGGCTGGGGCATTGCTTTTGTCAGGGGCTAACAGCCCCACTAACCGGCCCTCGGTTGGTCTTTGGTTCCTTCCCCCGACCTCCCTCTGCCCCACCCCAACTCTGGGGATAGTGGGGTCTGCACCCGGTTGGCAGCATTGGGGGCAGAACTCAGGTCCTCCAGCTCCAGAGGCTCCTCTCTCTGCCTCTGGATCTCGATGGGACACACCCCCTCCGCAGCAGCAGTAGTGAGTCCATTATCCCTCGGGGGGAGGGCTAGCTCAGTGGTTTGAGCATTGGCCTGCTAAACCCAGGGTTGTGAGTTCAATCCTTGAGGGGGCCACTTAGGGGTCTGGGGCAAAATCAGTACTTGGTCCTGCTAGTGAAGGCAGGGGGCTGAACTCAATGACCTTTCAAGGTCCCTTCCCTTTCTAGGAGATAGGACATCTCCATTAAATTTTTTGGGAGGTTGTGGAATCTCTGTCTCTGGAGATATTTAAGAGCAGGTTAGATAAATGTCTATCAGGGATGGTCTAGACAGTATTTGGTCCTGCCATGCGGGCAGGGGACTGGACTCGATGACCTCTCGAGGTCCCTTCCAGTCCTAGAATCTATGAATCCTCTGGGGGCTAAGGCCGCTCACAGACGCTTTGCGGAGCAAGGTGTGAGGGGGGTGGGGCGGCTTGGGCACTGCTGGCATGGTGGTGGGTGCGGGCTGCAAGACCCCGCCATGGGGCATGGGTTGTAAACACCCCATTTGGGGGAGGGGCGAGCGAAACGGCTCCTCCTGGGAGGAGGGGGTTGGCCCTCGGCCTGCTGTCCCAGCGACCCAGAGAGGCCAGAGCCCATAGGGTGGGGACCGCGATCCCCTCCCCCGTAACATGCTCCCCGCATGGTCTTGCAGGGCGGATATTCGAGGGGACGCCGGAAACCATGCTGGCCTCGCTGGACACCGCTGCGGACCTAGCAGAGGACACGCTGCTCTGGCCAGGTGAGCGCCCCCTGCCAGGCAGCAAGCTCGAGGGTGGGGTTTGTGGGGCAGGGAAAGGGGGCCAGCAGAGGCTGGGGAAATCCCCCGATCTCCACAGGGGCCCAGCTGCAGGGGTAGGGGCGCAGCCTGGAGTTCAGTGCCACGAGTCAGGGGGGCCTCAGCCCCGCTGGGGGTCGCTGACCTAGATCTGCAAGGAGGGGAAGGAATCCCCGCTCCTGGGCCTGTGCCGACATGGAGGCAAAGCAAGGCCGGGGTCTCGCCCGTGAGCTGTATTCGTCCGCAGCCCATGGGCAGGTTAGGGGCAGACCCGGGAGGGGAGCTGCTGGGTGGGACTGAGGGCACTGTCCCTCTTGCTTTTTACATCCGTGTGTGGAATGAATGGTTTGGGGTGCAGGCTACCCCCAGGCTGCAGTGGGGAGAGAGGACTCCCCCCAGCCCTCTCTCGCCACACAGCTCAGGGCCAGGGGGAGAGGCGCCTCTCCGTGGGGACGGCAGCTCCGGCAGGCCTGGGCCGAGCCAAGGGTGCAGCTCCTCTCCCGTGGCCGCGGCAAGTCCGTCCTGGAGCCGGCAGGGAGCGACGCCTCTTCCCGCCACAGCCCTGAGCCCCTGCACGGCCACGCAGCTTAGAGGGACCTTAGATTGAGGGGCATCGCTGCAGACGCTGCCGCAGTCTCATCTCCCTGCTCTGTCCAGAGATCTGGTTTCCTTGGCTCCCTGGACCTCACCCGTCTCTAGCCCCTTGTGTCTGAGGATCTGCCGGCCCCTTGCCTGCCCCTCCCAGCCACCCTAGGGGGCAGCAGGTGATGTTCCCATAGGGCAGAAGCACGGAGAGGGGCCGGCACAGATGGGAATAGAACCCAGGCGGCCTGGCTCCCTACCGGGTGCTTGGCTCGCCAGTCTGTGCCCTTCACCGGAGCCCCCGCCCGTGCCAGCCCCCCTCCCCTGGTCACTGCCCTCTCTGCTCCCCAAGGACACGAGTATGCCCTGGACTGCCTGACGTTTGCCAGCCTGCTGGAGCTGGAGAACCCCGTGCTGGAGCAGAAGCTGCAGTGGGCGAATCAGCAGCGGCTGGAGAAGAGGAGCACGGTGAGTGTCGGTGGGGGAGTGCTCCCGGGCCTTGGCATCCGGGGCAGGTGCCACTCGCGCGGGGCCCAGTTCCTCTTTCCTGGCTCTTCCCCCCGCTCTCTCTCCCTACGCCGGGGCTGGGAAACACCTGGCCGGAAGTAGTGCCGGTTTCCCTGCGGCTCGGATCCAGCTGCTTCCTAGCCTGGCAGTGGGGGGAGGGAGGCGCAGGCAGGTTTGAATTCACACCCGCCCCGCAGGGACCCAGAGGGCATCGGGTGCTGGGCCAAGGCCAGGAGATTGGCTGGCTGGGGTCAGCTGTATGATGCAGTGTATTAATCTGTCACCTTGCAGCTGGTCGCCTGGAAAATCCAGCATTCGAAGGGTTACGCTTGGCAAGCAGGGGCCAGGTCCCTTTGCCCCCAATCTGGGTCCCTGCCTCATTTCCCCAAAGGCCCCCCCACCCGCAACCTGCACCCCATCCAGCTGCAGCTTGCTGGATAGCCATAACCCGTGGGGCACAGGCCACAGCAGTGTCCACTCCCTCGGCACCCCTAAACACCCTCCCTGCACCCCATTAATGTGTCTTGACCCTTGACCTAGTCTCTGCACTAGGTATCTGAGTAATTCCATTCCACCTTCCTAAATTCCCCTCGCAGGGTTTCATCTGGACTTGGGGTCTGTCTTGGCTTCCCATCCTAATCCTGCTGGAGCATGCTGCCGCTATATATGGCTGCCATACCCCACCCCAGAGGCAGCCGCATTTCCGTAATCTCTTGGGTTTCTACGGCGCCTGGCACAATGGGGTGCTGGGGGTTCCCACAATCCGGATAGTAAAGGAAAATAGCTTCAAAACTGGTTTGTAGGAGCCAGTCTCTAGTAAAAGGAGCTGGAGAAGTTGTGGGTTTGGGATGCAGACAGGCTGGGCTCAGCGCAGATTAGAACATCCAGGGTGCGTTGCCTCTTTCATGCTGGGCTCAGTGGTCTCAACGGGCTGCGGCTCTGCGCCGGGCACGTCGCTCTGCGCGTGCTGACCTGGCCCCGTCTCTCCCCGCCCCAGTGCCCCTCCACCATCGGCGAGGAGAAGGAATACAACCCGTTCCTGCGGACCCACTGCTGGGAGCTGCACCGGGCCCTGGGGCTGCAGCGGCTGAGAGGCGAGGACTGGGACAGCTTCCGGGCGCGGGTGCTGAAGGAGGTGCGGCACCGCAAGGACCTCTACAAAGCCAACTAGCCCCCTGGCCGGGCGGCGGGAGGGCTCTGCCCCGTGAGCAGCCTCCCAAAGGAGGGGGACTGTCCCTGTTGGGGGGGAGTGTCTGGCTGGGAAAGGGTCTCACCCCTCCTGGCGATGGGGCGGATCGGGGAGCCGGAAACGTCTCCGCCTCATCCCTGTGGATAAAGACGGGTTCGGGTGCCATCCCCCTTCCCCCCCCACCCCACCCTGCTGGCTTGAGAGGGCTCGTCTCCGGACAAAGTGGATCCTTGCCGGTGGAAAGAAGAATGGGGGGGGGGTAAAATCCAGGATGACACCCCCCCAAACCCACCCCCAGGAGGCGTCTGACCTTTGATGGCCGCTGGCTGCCGGGGGTGGA